CTGTGCGTGTGTGAGTGTGTGTGCGTGTCTGCGGGTGTGTGCGTGGTTGTGTCTGTGTGCTTGCACTTTTGTGTGTTTGGTTGTGTGTATGTGTATTTATGTTTGTGTGTTTTTCTGTGTGTGTTTGTGTGTGGGTGTTTTGTGTGTGTGTGTTTGCGTATGTTTGTCTGTGTGAATCTATGTATGTGTTTTTATGTCTATGTTTGTATTTGATTTTGTGTTTCTTTGTTTGTCTGTGTGTTTTTGAGTGTGTGTCTGTTTGTCTTTATGTATATTTCTATGTGTATGTGTGTGATTGTGTGTTGTGTTTTTGTGTGTGCGTATTTGTGAGTTTGTTTTTGTGTGTCTTTGTTTGTGTGTTTCTGTGTGTATTTGTGCGTGTGTTTTCGCGTGTATGGTTATGTATGTTTGTGTATGTCTGTGTACGTGTACGTGTGCGTGTAATTGTGTGCTTTTTCGGCGTGTGTGTGTTTACGTGTATGTATGCGTGTGTTTGTGTGTGTCCGTTTGTTTGTGTTTCTGTGAGTGTGTGTGTTTGTTTCTGTGTGTTTCTCTGTGTATATGTGTCTGTGTGTCTGTATCTCTGTGTATATTTGTCTGTGCGACATGTGTTTGTGTGTGTATGTGTGTGCTTGCATGAGTGTGTTTGCGTGTGTTTCTGTGTGTGTGTGTTTACTTGTCTGTGGGTCATGCGTTTGTGTGTGTGACTGAGTGTATTTGTCTGTGGGTCATGTGTTTGTTTATGTGTGTATGTGCATGTATGTGTGTGTGTTTGTGTGCCATTTTGTTTATGTTTGTATGTGTGCTTGTGTGAGTGATTGTGCTTATGTTTGCGTATGTGTGTGTTTGAGTGTGTGTTGGCGTGTGTTGGATTTTGTGTGTATGAGTTTTTGAGTGCTTTTGTGAGTGTTTGTGTGTGTTTGTGTGTGCGTGTGTGCGTGTGAGTTTGTGTGTGTGTATATTTGTGTGTGTTTGTGTGTACCTATGTATGTCTATTTATATGTGTGTGTTTGTTTGTACATGATGTGCTTCTGTTTGTGTTTGTGTGTTTTTGAGTGTATCTTTATGTGCGTTTGTATGTTTGTGGGTGTTTGTGTGTGCGTATTTGTCAGTCTGTTTTCGTGTACGTTTGTTTGTTTGCTTCTGTGTGTGTGTATTTGTGTGTGTTTGTGTGAATGTTTATGTATGTTTGTGTGTGTATGCGTGTTTGTGCGTGCGTGGGTTTTTTTCTGTGTGTGTGTTTGCGTGTGGTTGTGTTTGTGTGTGTATATGTGTGTGCGTTTGTGTGAATGATTGATTGTTTGTGTGTGTGTTTGTGTTTGCTTGTGTGAGTTTCTGTGTGTTTGTTTGCGTACGTATGTGTTTGCGTGGGTGAGTTTTTGGGTGTGATTGTGTATGTTTCTGTGTGAGCGCGTTTGTGTGAGAGTGTTTGTGTGTTTGTTTGTCTGCGTGTGTGAGTGTGTGTATTTATGTGTGTATGTGTGTGTCTGTGTGCGCGTCTCTCTGTTTATGTGACTCTGTTTGTGTGTGTTTGTGTGTATTTTTCTGTGGGTCATGTGTTTGTGTTTGTGTGTATTTGTGTGTGTGAGAGTAAGTGTGTATCTGCGGCGATGTTTTTGTCTGTGTTTGTGTGTGTTGGTGTGTATGAACTCCTACAACCTGTCCGGCATCAAACAAACTGTGAGTGACAGTGGGTTATACCCACAGTGTTTACTCTGATCCCTGTTATGTCTCTGTGTCTCTGATCTCCAGGTTGGACAGTAACAATCTGACAGCGGATTGTACCGAGGATCTGACCTCCGCTCTCAGCACAAACCACTCACTGTCGGAGCTGAACCTGAATAGTAATAAACTGGGAGATTGTGGAGTGAAGCGACTGTGTGAGGCTCTGAGGAACCCGGAGTGTAAAATACAGAAACTGTGGTAAGTAACGCACTGTGTCTCCAGAGTCTGAATGACTCCAATATCTCAATGTGTTTATTGTGACTGTCTGATCAGTGCGGCTGAATATTGTGACAGGAATCGGTGTGACAGTGTGAGGCCACAAACCATCGTTTACATCAAACTCTCAACATGTGTTAATGTGTGTGTGTGGGTGTGTCCTTTGCAACTATCTACAACGACTTTAGAATGATCCGGTTCCAGTTTACCAATTGGTTCAGTTTAGTCACTTTATTCAGGACAGAACAGCAGGTAATACACAAATAAATGAAACAATAAAATAATACACAATACACAAAACGGTACCGAGCGGATTCCTGTCACAGCACTGGTCGTGTCCCGCACTGCTCCGCTACCGTTCCCGAGAGATATCTAACACACCTTTGTTTAAAGACAACTGAATAACTCCAGACAAAGCTGTCTTTTTTAAGAAAAACAACTCCTTATATGGTTATATCCATAATATGTTTCAATTTCAATTCTCCCTTTAACCACAAGGACTTTCCGTGTCCCTGTAAGTCCTGACCTTATATTGCCATTGTTTTGGGTTCTGCCTTCAGTCACTGAGCTTTGCCGCCTTTGCACTTCTATTTTAGATTCTTGAACCACACATTAACATTAACCCATGACAACACTGTTTGTATGTATGTTTGTGTGTGTGTGTCAGTGCATGCGTTTGTGTATGTGTGTGTTTGTGTATGTATTTGTGTGTGTGTCAATGCATATGCTTTGTGTGTGTGTGTGTGTTTGCGTGTCTCTGTGTATGTGTGCGTTTGCCTGTGTATGTGGGTCTGTGTGCTTTTGTGAGTGCTTTCGTAAGTGTGTGTGTGTGTCTGTGTGAGCGATTGTTTGTGTGTGTGTTTGTCTTTGTTTCTGTGTTTGTGTTTGTGCGTGTGTTTTTGAGTATATCTATACATATTGTGTGTCTGGATGTGTTTCTGTGTGTCTCTGTCTGTGTGTTTCTGCGGGTTTTTTTGTGTCTCAGTGTGTATTTGTGTTCGACTGTGTTTGCTTGTGTGACTTTGTGCTTGTGAGTGTGTGTGTGTGTCAGAGCCTTGGGACGTCCGACATGAAAGGCGATATACAACTGTAATCTTGTTGTTGTTGTTGTGTGCGTTTGTGTATGTTCCTGTGAGTGTGTGCGATTGTGTGTGTGTATCCCAGAGGATCGAGTTCAAGATCGTCGTCCTCACCTTTAAGGCCATCCATGGCCTCGCCCCCTCCTCCCCTCTCTGACCTGCTGACTCCCTACCAACCTGCCCGCTCCCTCCGTCCAGTGGGCTCCGGGCTGCTCCGTGTCTCCCGCCCGACCCGCCCTCCCATCGGTGTCCGGGCTTTCAGCCTCTCTGCCCCACACTCTGGGACTCCATCCCACGGTCCCTTCCCCTCACTTCCTCTCTTGTCTCCTTCAAGGTCGGTCTCAAGACCCTTCTCTTCGATCGTGGCTTTGGTCTCCCTCCCACCTCTCTGCCTTCCCTCACTCCTACCCCACCCCTCGCCACCACTCCAACACCCATCCCCCACCCATCGCCACTCCTCCCCCACCCCTCCCCACCCTCGCCACCCTCCCCCACCCTCCCACCCTCCCCACCCCTCCCCACCCCTCCCCCATGCTCAGGCCCCGACACCTGACTGTTCAGCGCTTTGGGACGTCCTGCCGACGTGAAAGGCGCTCTGTAAATGCAATTTTATTGATGTTATTGTGTATTTGTGTGTTGGTGTGTGTGAGTGTGTGTGCGTGTCTGCGGGTATGTGCGTGGTTGTGTCTGTGTGCTTGCACGTTTGTGTGTTTGGTTGTGTGTATGTGTATTTATGTTTGTGTGTTTTTCTGTGTGTGTGTGTGTGGGTGTTTTGTGTGTGTGTATTCGCGTATGTTTGTCTGTGTGAATCTATGTATGTGTTTTTATGTCTGTGTCTGTATTTGATTTTGTGTTTCTTTGTTTGTCTGTGTGTTTTTGAGTGTGTGTCTGTTTGTCTTTATGTATATTTCTATGTGTATGTGTGTGATTGTGTGTTGTGTTTTTGTGTGTGCGTATTTGTGAGTTTGTTTTTGTGTGTCTTTGTTTGTGTGTTTCTGTGTATATTTGTGCGTGTGTTTTCGCGTGTATGGTTATGTATGTTTGTGTATACCTGTATGTGTGTGTGTGTAATTGTGTGCTTTTTCTCCGTGTGTGTGTGTGTGTGTTACGTGTCTGTTTGCGTGTTTTCAGTGTGTCCGTTTGTTTGTGTTTCTTTGAGTGTGTGTGTTTGTTTCTGTGTGTTTCTCTGTGTATATGTGTCTGTGTGTCTGTATCTGTGTGTGTGTATTTGTCTGTGTGACATGTGTTTGTTTGTGTGTGTATGTGTGTGCCTGCATGAGTGTGTTTGCGTGTGTTTCTGTGTGTGTGTGTTTACTTGTTTGTGGGTCGTGTGTGTGTGACTGATTGTATTTGTCTGTGGGTCATGTGTTTGTTTATGTGTGTATGTGCATGTATGTGTGTGTGTTTGTGTGCCATTTTGTTTATGTTTGTATGTGTGCTTTTGTGAGTGATTGTGCTTATGTTTGCGTGTTTGTGTGTTTGAGTGTGTGTGTTGGCGTGTGTTCGATTTTGTGTGTGTGTTTGTGAGGGTTTGTGGGACTTTTTGTGTGTATTTGTGTGTTTCTGTCTGTGCGTGTGAGTTTGTGTGTGTGTATATTTGTGTGTCTGTGTGTATCTGTGTATGTCTATTTATATCTGTGTGTTTGTTTGTATGTGCTGTGCTTCTGTTTCTGATTGTGTGTTTTTGAGTGTGTCTTTATGTGCGTTTGTATGTTTGTGGGTGTTTGTGTGTGCGTGTTTGTCAATCTGTTTTCGTGTACGTTTGTTTGTGTGGTTCTGTGTGTGTGTTTTTGTGTTTGTTTGTGTGAATGTTTATGTATGTTTGTGTCTGTATGCGTGTTGGTGCGTGCGTGGGTTTTTCTGTGTGTGTGTTTGCGTGTGGTTATGTTTGTGTGTATATGTGTGTGTGTTTGTGTGAATGATTGATTGTTTGTGTTTGTGTTTGCTTGTGTGAGTTTCTGTGTGTGTGTTTGCGTACGTATGTGTTTGCGTGGGTGAGTTTCTGGGTATGATTGTGTATGTGTCTGTGTGAGCGCGTTTGTGTGAGAGTGTTTGTGTGTTTGTTTGTCTGCGTGTGTGAGTGTGTGTATTTATGTGTGTATGTGTGTGTCTGTGTGCGCGTCTCTCTGTTTATGTGACTCTGTTTGTTTGTGTTTGTGTGTATATTTCTGTGGGTCATGTGTTTGTGTGTATTTGTGTGTGTGAGAGTAAGTGTGTGTCTGCGGTAATGTTTTTGTCTGTCTTTTGTGTGTGTGTGTGAGTGTGTGTTTGTGTGTATGAACTCCTACAACCTGTCCGGCATCAAACAAACTGTGAGTGACAGTGGGTGACACACACTGTGTTTACTCTGATTCCTGTTTTGTCTCTGTGTCTCTGATTTCCAGGTTGAACAGTAACAATCTGACAGCGGATTGTACCGAGGATCTGACCTCCGCTCTCAGCACAAACCACTCACTGACGGAGCTGTACCTGAGTAGCAATAAACTGGGAGATTGTGGAGTGAAGCGACTGTGTGAGGCTCTGAGGAACCCGGAGTGTAAAATACAGAGACTGTGGTAAGTAACGCACTGTGTCTCCAGAGTCTGAATGACTCCAATATCTCAATGTGTTTATTGTGACTGTCTGATCAGTGCGGCTGAATATTGTGACAGGAATCGGTGTGACAGTGTGAGGCCACAGCCATCGTTTACATCAAACTCTCAACATGTATTAATGTGTGTGTGTGGGTGTGTCCTTTGCAACTATCTACAACGACTTTAGAATGACCCGGTTCCAGTTTACCAATTGGTTGAGTTCAGTCACTTTATTCAGGACAGAACAGCAGGTAATACACAAATAAATGAAACAATAAAATAATACACAAGACACAAAGCGGTACCGAGCGGATTCCTGTCACAGCACTGGTCGTGTCTCGCACTGCTCCGCTACCGTTCCCGAGAGATATCTAACACACCTTTGTTTAAAGACACCTTAATAACTCCAGACAAAACTGTCTTTTTTAAGAAAAACAACTCCTTATATGGTTCTGTCCATAAAATGTTTCAATTCTCCCTTTAACCACAAGGACTTTCCGTGTCCCTGTAAGTCCTGACCTTATGTTGCCATTTTTTTGGGTTCTGCCTTCAGTCACTGAGCTTTGCCGCCTTTGCAATTTTATTTCATACTCTTAAACCACACTTTAACATTAATCCATGACAACACTGTGTGTATGTATGTCTCTGTGTGTGTGTGTGTGTCAGTGCATGTGTTTGTGTGTGTGTGTACGTATGTGTGTGTGTGTGTCAATGCATATGCTTTTGTGTGTGTGTGTGTGTGTCTCTGTTTGCGTGTCTGTGTGTATGTGGTTCTGTGTGGTTTTGTGAGTGTTTTCGTATGTGTGTGTGTGTGAGAGCGATTGTTTGTGTGTGTGTTTGTCTTTGTTTCTGTGTATGTTTGAGTACATCGATATATGTTGTGTGTCTGGATGTGTTCATGTATGTGTCTCTGTCTATGTGTGTATGTTTCTGCGGGTTTTTTTTAGTCTCTGTGTGTATTTGTGTTCGGCTGTGTTTGCTTGTGTGACTTTGTGCTTGTGAGTGTGTGTGTGTCAGAGCCTTGGGACGTCCGACATGAAAGGCGATATACAACTGTAATCTTGTTGTTGTTGTGTGCGTTTGTGTATGTTCCTGTGAGTGTGTGCGAATGTGTGCGTGTGTTTGTGTGTGTTCCTGTAAGTGTGCGCGATTGTGTGTGTGTTTCCCAGAGGATCGAGTTCAAGATCGTCGTCCTCACCTTTAAGGCCATCCATGTCCTCGCCCCCTCCTCCCCTCTCTGACCTGCTGACTCCCTACCAACCTGCCCGCTCCCTCCGTCCATTGGGCTCCGGGCTGCTCCGTGTCTCCCGCCCGACCCGCCCTCCCATCGGTGTCCGGGCTCTCAGCCTCTCTTCTACCACACTCTGGGATTGCATTCTACGGTCCCTTTCCTTCGCTTCCTCCCTTGGCTCCTTCAAAGTCGGTCTCAAGACCCTTCTCTTCCATCGTGGCTTTGGTCTCCCCCCTCTCTGCCTTCCCTCACTACTACCCCACCCCTCCGCCACCCCTCCCCCACCCCTCCCCACCCCTCCCCACCCCTCCCCTATGCTCAGTCCCCGACTCCTGACTGTTCAGCGCTTTGGGACGTCCTGCCGACGTGAAAGGCGCTCTGTAAATCCAATTTTATTGATGTTATTGTGTATTTGTGTGTGTGTGTTTGTGTGTGTGAGTGTGTGTGCGTGTCTGCGGGTGTGTGCGTGGTTGTGTCTGTGTGCTTGCACGTTTGTGTGTTTGGTTGTGTGTAAGTGTTTTTATGTTTGTGTGTTTTTCTGTGTGTGTTTGTTTGTGGGTGTTTTGTGTGTGTGTTTGCGTATGTTTGTCTGTGTGAATCTATGTATGTGTTTTTACGTCTGTGTTTGTATTTGATTTTGTGTTTCTTTGTTTGTTTGTGTGTTTTTGAGTGTGTGTCTGTTTGTCTTTATGTATGTTTATATGTGTGTGTGTGATTGTGTGTTGTGTTTTTGTGTGTGCGTATTTGTGAGTTTGTTTTTGTGTGTCTTTGTTTGTGTGTTTCTGTGTGTATTTGTGCGTGTGTTTTCGCGTGTATGGTTATGTATGTTTGTATATGTCTGTGTATGTGTATTTGTGTGTGTACTTGTGTGCTTTTTTCTATGTGTGTGTGTTTATGTGTGTGTTTGCGTGTGTTTGTGTGTGTGTCCGTTTGTTTGTGTTTCTGTGAGTGTGTGTTTGTTTCTCTGTGTTTCTCTGTGTATGCGCGTGTGTATCACTGTGTGTGTCTGTATTTGTCTGTTCGACATGTGCTTGTGTGTGTATGTTTGTGTGCTTGCATGAGTGTGTTTGCGTGTGTGTCTGTGTGTGTGTGTACTTGTCTTTGGGTCAGGTGTTTGTGTGTGTATGTATGTATTTATGTGTGTGTGTTTGTGTGCCATTTTGTTTGTTTGTGTGTGTGTTTGTGTGAGTGATTGTGCTTATGTTTGCGTTTGAGTGTGTGTGTTCGCGTATGTTCGATTTTGTGTGTATGAGATTTTGAGTGCTTTTGTGAGTGTTTGTGTGTTTCTGTCTGTGCGTGTGGGTTTGTGTGTGCACATGTTTGTGTTTGTTTGTGTGTATCTATGTATGTCTATTTATATCTGTGTTTGTTTGTATGTGCTGTGCTTCTGTTTGTGATTGTGTGTTTTTGAGTGTGTCTTTATGTGCGTTTGTATGTTTGCGGGTGTTTCTGTGTGCGTGTTTGTCCGTCTGTTTTCGTGTACGTTTGTTTGTGTGGTTCTGTGTGTGTGTATTTTTGTGTGTTTGTGTAAATGTTTATGTATGTTTGTGTGTGTATATGCGTGTTTGTGCGTGCGTGTGTTTTTTTCTGTGTGTGTGTGCGTGTGGTTGTGTTTGAGTGCATGTGTGTGTTTGTGTGAATGATTGATTGTTTGTGTGTGTGTTTGTGTTTGCTTGTGTGAGTTTCTGTGTGTGTCTTTGCGTATGTGTTTGCGTGGGTGAGTTTTTGGGTGTGATGTCTCTGTGTGAGCGCGTTTGTGTGAGAGTGCTTGTGTGTATGTTTGTCTGCGTGAGTGTGTGTATTTATGTTTTTATGTTTGTCTGTGTGTGTCTGTGTGCGCGTCTCTCTGTTTATGTGACTCTGTTTGTTTGTGTTTGTGTGTATATTTCTGTGGGTCATGTGTTTGTGTGTATTTGTGTGTGAGAGTAAGTGTGTGTCTGCGGTGATGTTTTTGTCTGTCTTTTGTGTGTGTGTGTGTTTGTGTGTATGAACTCCTACAACCTGTCCAGCATCAAACAAACTGTGAGTGACAGTGGGTTATACACAGTGTGTTTACTCTGATCCCTGTTATGTCTCTGTGTCTCTGATCTCCAGGTTGGACAGTAACAATCTGACAGCGGATTGTACCGAGGATCTGACCTCCGCTCTCAGCACAAACCACTCACTGACGGAGCTGCTCCTGAGTGATAATAAACTGGGAGATTGTGGAGTGAAGCGACTGTGTGAGGCTCTGAGGAACCCGGAGTGTAAAATACAGTGTCTATGGTAAGTAACGCACTGTGTCTCCAGAGTCTGAATGACCCCAATATCTCAATCTGTTTATTGTGACTGTCTGATCAGTGCGGCTGAATATTGTAACAGGAATCGGTGTGACAGTGTGAGGCCACAAACCATCTTTTACATCAAACTCTCAACGTGTGTTAATGTGTGTGTGTGGGTGTGTCCTTTGCAACTATCTACAACGACCTTAGAATGATCCGGTTCCAGTTAACCAATTGGTTCAGTTTAGTCACTTTATTCAGGACAGAACAGCAGGTAATACACAAATAAATGAAGCAATAAAATAATACACAATACACAAAACGGTACCGAGCGGATTCCTGTCACAGCACTGGTCGTGTCTCGCACTGCTCCGCTACCGTTCCCGAGAGATATCTAACACACCTTTGTTTAAAGACAACTGAATAACTCCAGACAAACCTGTCTTTTTTAAGAAAAACAACTCCTTATATGGTTATATTCATAATATGTTTCAATTTCAATTCTCCCTTTAACCACAAGGACTTTCCGTGTCCCTGTAAGTCCTGACCTTATGTTGCCATTGTTTTGGGTTCTGCCTTCAGTTACTGAGCTTTGCCGCCTTTGCACTTCTATTTTAGATTCTTGAACCACACTTTAACATTAATCCATGACACTGTGTGTGTGTTTGTCGTTGTGTGCGTGTCTGTGTCAGTGCATTTGTTTGTGTGTGTGTGTAGATATGTGTGTGTGTGTCAATGCATATGCTTTTGTATGTGTGAGTGTGTGTGTGTGTGTGTCTGTGTGAGCGATTGTTTTTGTGTGTGTTTGTCTTTGTTTCTGTGTTTGTGTTTGTACGTGTGTTTTTGAGCATATCTACATATATATGTTGTGTATCTCGATATGTTTATATGAGTGTCTCTGTCTGTGTGTGTGTGTTTCTGCGGTTTTTTTTGTGTCTCAGTGTGTATTTGTGTTCGACTGTGTTTGCTTGTGTGACTTTGTGCTTGTGAGTGTGTGTGTGTCAGAGCCTTGGGATGTCCGACATGAAAGGCGATATACAACTGTAATCTTGTTGTTGTTGTTGTTGTGTGCGTTTGTGTATGTTCCTGTGAGTGTGTGCGATTGTGTGTGTGTGTATCCCAGAGGATCGAGTTCAAGATCGTCGTCCTCACCTTTAAGGCCATCCATGGCCTCGCCCCCTCCTCCCCTCTCTGACCTGCTGACTCCCTACCAACCTGCCCGCTCCCTCCGTCCAGTGGGCTCCGGGCTGCTCCGTGTCTCCCGCCCGACCCGCCCTCCCATCGGTGTCCGGGCTTTCAGCCTCTCTGCCCCACACTCTGGGACTCCATCCCACGGTCCCTTCCCCTCACTTCCTCTCTTGTCTCCTTCAAGGTCGGTCTCAAGACCCTTCTCTTCCATCGAGCCTTTGGTCTCCCTCCCACCTCTCTGCCTTCCCTCACTCCTACCCCACCCCTCCCCCACCCCTCGCCACCCCTCCCCCACCCCTCCCGCAACCTCTCCCCCACCCTCCCCCACCCCTGCCCCACCCCTCGCCACCCCTCCCCCACCCCTCCCCACCCCTCCCCCATGCTCAGGCCCCGACACCTGACTGTTCAGCGCTTTGGGACGTCCTGCCGACGTGAAAGGCGCTCTGTAAATGCAATTTTATTGATGTTATTGTGTATTTGCGTGTGTGTGTTTGTGTGTGAGTGTGTGTGCCCGTCTGCGGGTATGTGCGTGGTTGTGTCTGTGTGCTTGCACGTTTGTGTGTTTGGTTGTGTGTATGTGTATTTATGTTTGTGTGTTTTTCTGTGTGTGTTTTTATGTGGGTGTTCTGTGTGTGTGTTTGCATATGTTTGTCTGTGTGAATCTATGTATGTGTTTTTATGTCTGTGTTTGTATTTGATTTTGTGTTTCTTTGTTTGTCTGTGTGTTTTTGAGTGTGTGTCTGTTTGTCTTTATGTATATTTCTATGTGTATGTGTGTGATTGTGTGTTGTGTTTTTGTGTGTGCGTATTTGTGAGTTTGTTTTTGTGTGTCTTTGTTTGTGTGTTTCTGTGTGTATTTGTGCGTGTGTTTTCGCGTGTATGGTTATGTATGTTTGTGTATGCCTGTGTATGTGTGTGTGTAATTGTGTGCTTTTTTCTGCGTGTGTGTGTGTTTACGTGTATGTTTGCGTGTGTTTGTGTGTGTCCGTTTGTTTGTGTTTCTGTGAGTGTGTGTGTTTGTTTCTGTGTGTTTCTCTGTGTATATGTGTCTGTATCTGTGTGTGTGTGTATTTGTCTGTGCGACATGTGTTTGTTTGTGTGTGTATGTGTGTGCTTGCATGAGTGTGTTTGCGTGTGTTTCTGTGTGTGTGTGTTTACTTGTCTGTGGGTAATGTGTTTGTGTGTGTGACTGTGTGTATTTTTCTGTGGGTCATGTGTTTGTGTATGTGTGTATGTGCATGTATGTGTGTGTGTTTGTGTGCCATTTTGTTTATGTTTGTATGTGTGCTTGTGTGAGTGATTGTGCTTATGTTTGCGTGTGTGTGTGTTTGAGTGTGTGTGTTGGCGTGTGTTCGATTTTGTGTGTATGAGTTTGTGAGTGTTTGTGTGAGTTTTTGTGTGTGTTTGTGTGTTTCTGTGTGTGCGTGTGAGTTTGTGTGTGTGTGTATATTTGTGTGTATCTATGTATGTCTATTTATATCTGTGTGTTTGTTTGTATGTGCTGTGCTTCTGTTTGTGATTGTGTGTTTTTGAGTGTGTCTTTATGTGCGTTTGTATGTTTGTGGGTGTTTGTGTGTGCGTGTTTGTCAGTCTGTTTTCGTGTACGTTTGTTTGTGTGGTTCTGTGTGTGTGTATTTGTGTGTGTTTGTGTGAATGTTTATGTATGTTTGTGTGTGTATGCGTGTTTGTGCGTGCGTGGGTTTTTTTCTGTGTGTGTGTTTGCGTGTGGTTGTGTTTGTGTGCATATGTGTGTGCGTTTGTGTGAATGATTGATTGTTTGTGTGTGTGTGTGTGTTTGCTTGTGTGAGTTTCTGTGTGTGTGTTTGCGTACGTATGTGTTTGCGTGGGTGAGTTTTTGGGTGTGATTGTGTATGTTTCTGTGTGAGCGCGTTTGTGTGAGAGTGTTTGTGTGTTTGTTTGTCTGCGTGTGTGAGTGTGTGTATTTATGTGTGTATGTGTGTGTCTGTGTGCGCGTCTCTCTGTTTATGTGACTCTGTTTGTGTGTGTTTGTGTGTATTTTTCTGTGGGTCATGTGTTTGTGTGTATTTGTGTGTGTGAGAGTAAGTGTGTATCTGCGGCGATGTTTTTGTCTGTGTTTGTGTGTGTTGGTGTGTGTGTGTGTTTGTGTGTATGAACTCCTACAACCTGTCCGGCATCAAACAAACTGTGAGTGACAGTGGGTTATACACTGTGTTTACTCTGATCCCTGTCATGTCTCTGTGTCTCTGATCTCCAGGTTGGACAGTAACAGACTGACCGATGGCTGCACTGATGCTCTGGTCTCCGCTCTCAGTACAAACCGCTCACTGAGGTTCCTGGACCTGAGGTTTAACTCCTTCACAGACGGCTCTGTCTCCGCTCTCCGCCGCCTCATACAGACCTGCACCAGTCTGGAGGAGATCGGGTGAGTGTTTGTGTCAGTGTTTAATGTGATAAACACACAGAGAAAGGGCTGTGTATCAGAATGGGAACAGTTTGAAGGGATTTATTTATGTATTAAACTGCGACACGAACAGTTTACAGTTTGTACCATTATCCCGTGGGTTTATTTCCTGTTTAATGTGTTTCAGGCTGTGGGGGAATGGGTTCAGTTCAGACGGAGAGAATCAGCTGAAGTCACTGCGGGGAATCAGAGCTGAGCTGTCAGTGGTAGTGTGACACTGACTGAGGCAGTGACTGTCCACACAGTCTGTGTAATATGGAATATATTCTGTGCACTGTAGTGACTGATTATTAAAGATGTTGATCCTGATTCCTCTCCCATCTCTGCTCTGGGGACCGTTATTGACACACACCGCCTACGGCCGTGCGGGCGGCTGGAGAGCCCCGACCCTCAGTCACTGCTAAACTGCTGTAAGCGACCACAACTGATGCACTTTCTCTCACAGTCTCTCTCTCTCTCTGTGTGTGTCAGTCTCTCTCAGTTTATATATTTCCGTCTCTCTATTTCAGTCTCTCTCTTTCATTGTCTCTCTTAGTCTCCGTCTATCTCTCTCTCTCTCTCTGTGTGTGTGTGTGTGTGTTTGCCTCAGTCAGTGCTTGTCTATGAGATAGTGGGCGAGAGAGCAGTCAGTCTGTGTGTGTGCCTATGTGAGAGCAGTCAATATGTGTGTAGGTCTGTGTGTGTCTATGTGAGAGCAGTCAGTGTGTGTATGTATGTGTGTGGGAGAGCAGTCAGTGAGTGTGTGTGTGAGGCAGTCAGTGTGTGTGAAAGCAGTCAGTGTATGTGTGTGGGAGAGCAGTCAGTGTGTGTGTGTGTGTGTGAGCAGTCACTGTATGTGTGTGTGTGAGGCAGTCAGTGTGTGTGAGAGAGAGCAGTTAGTGTGTGTTTATTTGAGCAATCAGCGTGTGTGAGAGCATTCAGTGCATGTGTGTGTGAGGCAGTCAGTGTGTGTGGGGGGGAGAGCAGTCAGTGTGTGTGCGAGAGAGCAGTCAGTATGTGTGTAGTTGTATGTGTGTGTGAGAGAGCATTCAGTGTGTGTGTAGTTGTGTGTGTGAGAGAGCAGTCAGTATGTGTGTGAGAGAGCAGTCAGTATGTGTGTAGTTGTGTGTGTGTGTGAGAGAGCAGTCAGTATGTGTGTAGGTGAGTGTGACTATGTGAGAGCCGTCAGTATGTGTGTGTGTTTGTGTGTGAGGGGGGGAGAGCAGTCAGTGTGTGTGTGAGAGAGCAGTCAGTGTGTGTGTTGTGTGTGTGTGAGAGAGAGCAGTCAGTGTGTGTGTGAGAGAGCAGTCAGTGTGTGTGTGTGAGAGCAGTCAGTGTGTGTGTGAGAGAGAGATAGAGAGCAGTCAGTGTGTGTGTGTGTGAGAGAGAGAGAGAAGTCAGTGTGTGTGTGTGTGTGTGAGAGAGAGAGCAGTCAGTGTGTGTGTGTGTGAGAGAGAGAGAGGTCAGTGTGTGTGTGTGTGTGTGAGAGCAGTCAGTGTGTGTGTGTGTGAGAGAGAGAGAAGTCAGTGTGTGTGTGTGTGTGAGAGAGAGAGAGCAGTCAGTGTGTGTGTGTGAGAGAGAGAGAGCAGTCAGTGTGTGTGTGTGTGTGTGAGAGCAGTCAGTGTGTGTGTGTGTGTGTGAGAGAGAGAGCAGTGAGTGTGTGTGTGTGAGAGAGAGAGCAGTCAGTGTGTGTGTGTGTGAGAGCAGTCAGTGTGTGTGTGTGTGTGAGAGAGAGCAGTCAGTGTGTGTGTGTGAGAGCAGTCAGTGTGTGTGAGAGAGAGTAGTCTGTGTGTGTGTGTGTGAGCAGTCAGTGTGTGTGTGTATGTGTGTGTGGCAGTCAGTATGTGTGTGTGAGAGCAGTCAGCGTTTGTGTAGGTATGTGTGTGTGAGAGAGCAGTTAGTGTGTGTGTGAGAGAGCAGTTAGTGTGTGTGTGAGAGAGCAGTTAGTGTGTGTGTATGTGAGCAGTCATTGTGTGTGTGTGTGTGTGTGAGAGAGAGGGAGAGAGAGAGAACAGTCAGTGTGTGTGTGTTTGTGTGAGAGAGAGTAGTCTGTGTGTGTGTGTGAGTGAGAGAGAGTAGTCAGTGTGTGTGAAAGAAGTCAGTATGTGTGTATGTGTGTGTGGGGAGGAGAGCAGTCATTGTGTTTGTGTGAGAGCAGTCAGTATGTGTGTGTGTGTGTGTGTGAGAGCAGTCAGTGTGTGTGTGTGTGTGTTTGTGTGTGAGAGAGCAGTTAGTGTGTGTGTGTGTGAGAGCGGTCAGTATGTGTGTGTGTGAGTGCAGTCAGTGTGTTTGAAAGCAGTCAGTGTGTGCGTGTGTGGGAGAGCAGTCAGTGTGTGTGTGTGTGTGTGTGTGTGAGCAGTCAGTGTATGTGTGTGAGGCAGTCAGTGTGTGTGAGAGCAGTCAGTATGTGTGTAGGTGTGCGTGTAAGAGAGAGCAGTTAGTGTGTGTGTATGTGAGCAGTCAGTGTGTGTGGGGGGGAGAGCAACAACAACAACAAGATTCCATTTATAAAGCGCCTTTCACGTCAGGAGGACGTCCCAAGGCGCTGCACAGTTGGGTCATGACCCGAGCAGGGGGGAAATGGTCAGGGTGAGGGGAGGGAAGGGAGGGAGAGAGGAGGGGGGAAATGGTCAGGGTGAGGGGAGGGAAGGGAGGGAGCGAGGAGGGGGGAATGGTCAGGGTGAGGGGAGGGAAGGGAGGGAGCGAGGAGGGGGGAAATGGTCAGGGTGAGGGAAGGGAGGGAGCGAGGAGGGGGGAAATGGTCAGGGTGAGGGGAGGGAAGGGAGGGAGCGAGGAGGAGAAAGAGAGTCGAGAGGGGAGCTGAAGGCTGAAGGTCAAAGAGAAAGGTTTTGAGACCGGCCTTGAAGGAGGAAAGGGAGGAAGCGGCGAAGGCACTGGGGGATGGAGTTCCAGAGTCTGGGGGCTGAGAGGCTGAAGGCCCGACCACCGATAGTAGGGGATGTGGAGCACACCGGAGCCAGAGGAACGGAGGGTACGGGCAGGTAGGTAGGGGGACAGTAGGTCGGAGAGGTAGGAGGGAGCGAGGCCGTGAATGGCCTTGTAGGTGAGGATGAGGATCTTGAAATCAATCCTCTAGGGGATGGGGAGCCAGTGGAGGGGAGCGAGGGTGGGAGTGATGTGGTCGCGGTGTCTGGTGCGGGACAGTACACGAGCTGCAGAGCTCTGAATGACCTGCAGTGTGGAGGGAGGGCCGGGAAGGCCGCGAGGAGAGAGTTCCCATAGTCCATCCTTGAGGTGATGAAGGCGTGGACCAGAGTTTCAGCCGCGTGAGGGGTGAGGTAGAGCCGTAGTCTGGCGATGTTTCGGAGGTGATGGAAGGCGGTGCCCGTTGTAGCGCGGATATGGGGGAGAAAGGACAGCTCAGGGTCCAACAGAACCCCGAGGTTCCTGATGGCTTTGAGAGGTGGAGAGTGCGGCCTCGGATGCTGATGTTTCAGGTCAATCAAGTTCCACAATGGATTTCGGAGACCATTTATTTTTTAAACCATTCTCCGATGATTAATTCAAGTAACAGCAACAACTTCCATTCATATCACGGCCTTCACGCGGGACAGTGTGTCGGGGTATTTTGGAGTTGTGTAGGACACTGAGCGTGAGGGAGGGTAGAGGTGACCATGAGGAGGGTGGAAGGGCGAGTTCTTCCGTTAATGAACCAAATCATAGTGTAACTCTTGCTCATTCAGTTACTTCTAGTTTCTTTAATTACAATACATGTTGCACGTATAAACTTGCATTTATATGGGTTGTTCTCTGTGTGCGCTTACAAACTGCGATAACAGTATGACTTTATTATAAAGTAAATCATACCCAGGCCCTGTTCCCGAGGAGATTGCCACACAAACCAATGATTGATTAATTAGAAATGGTTGAAGCAAAACTGAAACAAAAAAAAATACAATGACCATACATACAGCTTATCTGTTTTTCTCTAAATTTACCTTTTTTGCTGTTTGCCAAATAAACTTCAGCATAACGATGGGTCCAGAAAATGCCTGTGCAACGCAAAACTTATATCGTCTTTCTCTACTTGCTTAGTGCATCGTAACTTAATAATAATCATAATAATAAGCCTTGCATTTGATAAAGAGCTTTTCCTGTCTTCTTGACGTCTCAAAGCGCTTCACAGAATATACTGAAAAGTGAATTGACTGTATAATTGTGGGCGGACGCGGCAGCCAATTGCGCACAGCAATGTCCCACAAACAGTGGAACACAAACTTACTGTACACTCTTTAATTTTTCAATCCCAGTCAGAATGTTATACCCCCTAAAGTGTCTCCTCTCTCTCATCCCAGTCAGTCCAACCCTCTGTTTACCTTCACAGCTAATCTAACCCTCTCAGTCTAACCCTCTCTGATAAAAGCCAGTCTTACCCTCTCTCTCTCCCTCCTCAAAGTCAACCAAACACTCTGTCTTTCTCATCAGAGCCAGTCTAACCCTCTCTCTCATAAAAGCCAGTCTGACCCTCTCTATTTCCCTCCTCACAACCAGACTAACCTTCTCTCGTTAATGCCAATCTAACCCTTGGTCTCTCATCACAGGCAGCGTTATCCTTCTTTAATCTCATTGCAATAGAATTGGTGGATACGGCCAATACCGCTGTTTAATAATCGGAAGTTTATTAAGTGAGTCAAAATCTCCAACTGAGACAATGGTTACAGTAAAATCCATATGATCCGGTCCAACTGGGAAGATGTGTTTGACCACTTGCACCGACTCGATGTCAACTCCAACGATTTCATAGTAACATCTTTCCTTTAAGAGATCCTAACTCTGCCGACCCTGGTCACAGAGATATCCCCACCATTCGCAAACTGCTGGTGACTCTGAGCAGGGAAATTTCCCATAGAAAAATACACTGATCGAGAGAAAGACAGATTGGCAACTTTTGTTCTGGTGACCTTCTCCAGCCTGAGAGGTTCTCCGTCTTGAGCTCCGCAGGTGTGTGAGACTGCAGCCATTTCTTTCTGTGGTCCTGTATTCTTACATCTGTGCTCAAGGACCTGATTGCTCATTATCTCAGAGGAGTGAACTTCTCCTCAGACAGATATGAAATGTCATAAGAATCTTACGTCAACCGGTCCAGCAAAGCTACATTTAAGGTCGTCATTAAATCAAACGCAACTTATTAAAGGGTTACAGGTGAGAGGTTAATTTAAAAGCCTTAAAGACGTTAAGGAATACAAATACAATCTTACACCATGGATCAAGGATTGTGCTTT